ACAGGCTCTGATAGGCCGGGATCGGATCGGATGGGAAGAGCAAAAAGCTGGATGGGGACGTCCCTAGGATGGTCTTTCCTCATCCTTCATCCCAGTTTAAGGTTCGTGATGCTAACCTTCACTCCTCAGACACATCAGGGCTCCCGGAGCCGGACTCCGTAGACCAGATCGGCCAACACACCAGGGTCATCCCCCAACACCCATCGCTCCACTGACCCAAAGCCTGAGACCCAGAAACACCAGCCCTGGTCCAGAACGCTGCTGTGTCTGCAGGAGAGCGGCCAAAGCCACGCCCGGAGGGGGGGCAGCCAGCAGAGCTCCGGTAATTACAGCAGCTGCTGCCGCCTGAACACAGCCAGAGGCTTCACACACCTGCTCCGGGAGGGGCTCCGGACGGAGCAGGGCATGCTGGGAAATGTAGGACGCTGAAACAGGAGCCTCCGTGAGACCACGGTGCTAATGGAGCTCTACAGAGACCCGGAAAAGATGAACAAGAAACCCAGATACGGTCTAATACCTAATACCTAACCCACTAACTAACCCAGAGACTGACCCAGTGACTACCACAGATATTTATCCAGATAGTAACCTAACAACTAACCCTGTAACTAACCCAGAGACTGACCCAGTGACCATCTAGTCATAGCCTGAATAATTATAGAGCTTTTTTAAGTCTTTTCAAGCAATTCAGACAAAAGTTGGAACTGTCATTACCCTGGGAGTGTTGCTTAGTGCTGGCTTCCTACACATTTCACGATAACTTCCTATAAACCTTCCTGTAAACACCCAACAATTTCCTGATAGTGTCCTGTAAACTTCCTGTCACCTTTTTTGTAAACTTGCTGCTTTTTATACATTTTCTGTAAACCCCATGCATCTTTTTGTAAACATTTTGTAAACTTCCTGTAAAAGTCCTGTCAGCTTCCTGTAAACATCCCGTAAACTTCCTGTAAACTTCCTGACAGCTTCCTGTAAACTTACCGAAAACTTCCTGTAAACTTCCTGTCAAGTTTAGTAG